TTTGTGCCTGTAATGATGACATTTACCCTCCGGAGCAGGAAAGGTGTTGGGGACTCACTGAGTCACATGACTGGGCTTTTGGCACATTTGGTTTGTTTGCCTAGCTGGCTGGGTGTGCAGTGTGGTTTCAGGAGGGCTGAGACAGGCCTGAGAGATGGATGTTTGAGCCCTGCCCTTTGTTTGTCTGGCTTCTTGTATATGCAGTGTGATCTCAGGAGGGGAAGTGGTTTGAGCTCTGTCGAGTGAATCCTTGTCTACCAGTTGTTTTTTTTTTCTGTGAGAGCCCTTATTTATCATTGCTGAGCCTATTGGTTGTGCATTCATCCCTTATCCATTAAAAACAGGTTGATACAGAATAACTTTACAGTTCTTTTTATATGAATGATTGTGTTATAGTGCAGGGAAGCCTTTAACAAACAAGGAGACATTCAGATCTCGGTATACGATCCACTATTGAGTGCAAGAAAGCCATTTTTAAAACATGAGAAAGGTAGCTCTCAGAATTTGGGCTAGTCCAGCTGCTTGTACAATCTTCATTCCAACCTAAGCAGGCTGACTGAGAGAGATTACGGCCACAGTGGTGTAATCTGTATTTTTTTCAGTGTTTTATTTTTTTGTTATGAAATGTTGTGTTGCAATTCTTCTGTGATATGATAATAGCCTACATAATGGATCTTTATTTTCCCCAGAACATGAGTATATTAATTAGTACAATAGTGTTTTTTGGTTCTGAATAATAGATGTTTATCAACAAGGTATAAAAACTGCAGCATTGCTTTTTTAACAGGGGAAAATGTTTTTAAACAATAAAGATGGTTTTGTTTTAGTTTTAGCCAAGCAAACTGGTGATATCAATAGCTTCTCCTTGGTTTTTAAAGTGAAACAGGCCTAGATAAACAAATGTCTTGTGTTTGGATTATTTCAGTAGTAAAATGTAAATTCGTCCTTGTTTACCAGCCTTCCAATTGATTTGTATTACCCTGCTCTCAATATCCACTGCTAGATGGAAGGACTAAGCTGTTTTTGTTGCTCTTTCAAAGGTCAATATTTTGAAGCGTGCTTGTTTTGTCAAATGCTGTATTTATCATTAATGCATTTCTCTTCTTGAAACCTACTCTGCTTCATCTCAGTTTATGCTCACTCAATACATGCATTTCACTGAGCTATAAATATCTTTCTTTCTTTGCAGAATGGACAGAGCATAACAGAGGAAGGTGTTGCTCCAGCTGTAAAGGTAGGATTTTTAAATCACTTTCTTTGGCCTCTGGTTCCTCTCCATGCAGAAACCACTAAAAGCAGGGGCTGCATTCATTTTTTGTTCTGAGATCTCCTACGTGGGCGATGTCTTTGTAAAAAAAAAAATGAAACCAAAAAAACTGATGATATATGCAAAAAGTCACTTGCACACTGACATAATATTTAGTCTCCTTTCAGGTGTTTTATACCATTCATTAATCCATGATCAGAGCCACTTATTCATGTTCACACCTCAGAAAACAGATGGTTTTCATTGTTTTTTTTAAAGTTTGATAGTGTCCGTGCCAGGTTCTGAGCAAACCAGCTTATTGATTAACAAAATTTCCTTTCTCACTCTTGGTGGACAAGCAGTTGTGGCACTCGTGTCATAAAAATGCTGAAATACCATCAGGTCACTGCCATTTTAAAGCACTGACTAAACGTCACAACGATTTAAAACAAATATTAAAGAGGTAAAACAAAGAGTCTGAGTCATTACCAGGGGGCATGCTGTCTCAAGTGACTTTCTGTTGTAGAGGTTGAAACTGGGCCACTTTGTCTGTTTTCCTTTGAGTTTGATCTTGTTTCTGAGTCAGAATCTGCTGAGGTCCCATACTCTGTCTGGGCTCATGGATGACTAACTCTGTCCTCTCCAAATCACTAGGACAGCCATTGGTCCCCGAAACCAAAGCGCTTTCATTGTCAAAACCCTTTCATGATGAAAGGTAGCTGCTGTGAGGTGGAGAGGTTTCAGAACTCTCTGAAGTCCATTTGAAAGTTGTTATGGATGGTACTTCAGTCAAAGTCTGGGGAAATGTCTCCTGAATGTTGTTTTAACATTTGATTTCTTCAGTCCCTCACTGCTGAGAGAAATAGCAGCAGCAGATTACACCCCGGCTCCAATTCCAGGTGCCGTGAGATTTCTCTGTTCGGGCGGTGCCTTCATACTCTTTGTTTTAAAGAAGTTTGCATTGTTTAAATGGCATGTCAACTGTGAAATGAGTGTTTTGAATGTGTATAAAAGCATTTCATAATTAATTAAATGTTTAAACCTGCAATGTTATTTGTCATCCATGATTAAATCCTGCAAAATATAAAGGAAGCTTGACGTCTTTGAAGTCTTATGCAGCAATAATGTTTTGTTGGAGAACGGACAGTACTGTATAGAGTTCACTAAATTTCTCAAAATGTTTTTTCAGGTAAAGTGGTTTTCACACTTGAGGTACAGTGCTATATGTGTTTTCAGTTGTGACTTAAAATCGCATGTCTGAGGCTCAGTGGGCCTGATTACATTGGGCTCTTGTCTGTGCCGTTATTATGCTTCAGTTCCCTGCTGTTTTTTTCATTTCCTGAGTTGTGCGCAAAACAAGTTAACTGTAGAGACATGAAACAAGCGTGACTGAGTCTCTGAACAGCCTGCGTAGGAATAGGAGCATCCTAAACCATTGTGATTTTTAAATGCTCCACCAAGCCGACCTACAGACGAAGGCAAGAACTGACGTCCTGTGGTCCCCCACCTCCCCCCCTGCATTCCCTGCCTCTCGCCTCCCCAGTGGCCTGGCACGTGGCATCGTCAGCCTTTAAACCCCCTTCAGAGTCAAATCAGCCGCCCTCACGGCATCACACTCCAATTAGCCAGGAGCCGTAAGCACAAAAGCTGGAGGTCATTTGCACATAACACAGCGGGCCCTTAGCGTGTGGATTTTGAACTGTGTACGTTCGTAATGCCCAGGTCTGTGTAATTGAATCTAGTCTTGATCTTTAAAACAACTCCGTCTTCTTTGATTATTTTGTGTGCAATGGGATTTCTCCATTTGCTTTCTGTGTGGCACGCTTCAGCATCTGAATTTATTCTGTCCTGTATATGCAATTTAAGTTATTCAGTAACCAAAGCCAAGCCCAGCTGGGTAGGTGCGGTGATACAAAAAACACAGTAAGAAGCCAGTGTAAGTGTTTCTCTTTTTCTTCAGTGTTTATGCAATCGAAGTGCATCGGGCACGCTATTGGAGGTTTTCTACGTATTGATTTGGGTCATCTGCGTAAGCATGACCTGCTTTTGGGTTGTCACATGACGTGGTGTGTTGAAGCACAGCGCCAGGTTTCAGTCACTTGGCCGTGGTGGGTGGTTCTGGAGGATCAATATGTCTGAATTGTAACAAGAGAAATAGCTTGGCCTGTCAATAATGCAACCCATTATGTGTGTTTCAGTCCCAGCACACCCAGGGAATAAAGGCAACACAGATGGCCTTATATCCAGCCGCCAGGGAGCAGAGCGGACAGCAGTGTGGTGAATTACTGGAGGGCAGGCGTATTGTGGGGGTGCTAAAAGCAGCCGAAAAAGCCAGGTCATCTAATAGTATAAGGGCCATGGTGTTGTCCAATGCTTTGGGAAAGGGCTTATTCTTGCTGTGCTTTCTTCTTAACTGACATGGTCTCAAGGCCCACAGGGACATGCAAAAAGCACTTTTTAACATGGAAAATTTACAGACCATGTTCTTGTGAAAATGACCATTGCAGGGCTAATAAAAGAAGGAAACAGCACACTGATTTTAGAATATGCCACATCCATCTTCCTGAATCGCAATTAAGAGCAATACAATAGCTCATTTGTCTTTTTTTTTAACCAAAAGCAGCATTACGGCCTTTCAGGCTGATGTCATCATTGCCGAAGCTCAACAAGGCTGAGCCAGGTTTGTAGTGTGATGGGAGGCCTTTAAGGAAAACCTGGTTGTGGCGGGCGATGGTGGTGGACCAGTAGGTGGCGCTCTTCCCTGTGGACCAGACCTCAGAAACCACTGCCCCTGCATAGTTACTGGGGGAACTGTGCTGTAGGAGGTGCCACCCCTCAGATGAAAGTTTACTCCCAGAGTCTTGGCTAAATTCCACTCCAGGCTTGTACAATCCAGCCTTTCTAAAGTTCAAACTAAATTTAAATAATAATAAATGTTATCCAGGTGAATGCAGCTTTTCAGAAGTGGATGAAGTGGATCCCTTCCTACATGTAAATTTCTTCAGGATCTGTTGGGACGAGAAGTGCTAATCAAATGTACAGAATGCAGTCTCTTCAGAAACAAGAATGAGGGTGAAAGACTGGGTTTTTCTAAGTTAAGTCAGTAAATCAGTAATGTGTGGCACAGTGGGTAGCATTGCCGTCTTGCAACTGGACCTGTGGTGCAGTCTGTGTGGAGTTTGTATGTTCTCATCTCCATGTTCATGGGTTTCCTCCTGGTTTCCTCCTGGTTCTCTATAGTTTCCTCCCACAGTCCAAAAACATACTGGTACAGTAGGTTACTTTGGCTTCTTGGAAAATTGTCCCTGGTGTGAGTGTGTTTGTGTCTGTCTTGTCTGTGTGTCTTTCCTGCAATGGCCTCGTGTCCTGTCCAGGGAGTATCCAGCCTTGCGCTCGTTGCTGGCCGGGATAGGCTAATAAAGCGATTGGAAAAAGGATGGATTTGTTTTCTTTCCAGACATTGCTGCACCACCAGCATGATAGATCCACTTTGCCGTGATTTCTGCTGATCTCATTGGTGAAAAGGGTCCAATGTTTCGCTTCCCTCCAAACCGCATGTCAAGAGCCATACATTTCTAGACAAATCATCTAGTTCATTTTTGTGAATTCATAGATTGCGTGACCAGTACCCAGATATAATCTTTGACTTTAAACAAGTGTCACAGGAAGTGTCCCAAGTGTCCCATTACCTGGAGATGCAAGTGTGCATTCAGCTGATTCACCAGAACGCATAGGATTGCTGCGTTGTATTTCTCCTACCGTTCGGTAAACGGTACCGAAGCATTCGGTCCAAGTCCAACAGACTACAGAACAGCTTCTACCTCCAGGCAATAAGACTGCTAAACAGACAACCTGCAGCTCCTTTAGCAAATCACCTGTAATGGCTACATGGACACACAGTTTTCATTGTATTCAGCATACTGCACTACATGTATATATTGCACACACCATGGACACATAGCAGCTATATTCATATTAAGTTTTATTCAGTTTCTATTACATCTATTATTATGTAACCTTATTTTCGTAACCTTAATTTTGTGATTTTTGTGAGCTCGCAGAAAAGACATTTCATTGCTAGCAGCTACTGCTGCACGCTGTATTATTGTGCATTTGATAAATAAACTTTGATTTGATTTGAGAAGGTTCTAAAGCCAAAATGTAGTAATATTTTATTAGCTCTAGATGCACAGTACGGGGCATTATAAACTGCATTATAAGTATTATAAATTATTATAAACAATGATGTGATGATGTGCGTAACCAAGCAGTAGGTCAGATCCAGGCTGGAATGTCCCAGCAAGCTTTTCCAAACTGCCTCATCACAGAAACGCCATGCTTACACTTTTCCATTGTTGGAAAGCTAACCTTAATGCCAGGAAAGTCCAAGTTTGGCAAGAATGACAGGCCAGGTCATTGCCCCTATGATATGGCAACACCCCTAGCACTGCCTAGTAACCAAGAGCATAGGCCACAGCCCATCTTCAACCTTGTGAACGTGACCCTCATGGTCAACTGGCTTTGTGACTTTCCTGATGCTTGTTGAGGACCTGGAAGTTTGAGCTGTGTACAATGTTTTAAAATTGCTTCTGCCATTTTAGTTATTGTGTGTAGATCTTAGACCATAATAATATACTGCTTGGCAGTTTCATTCATGGTGTGTTTTCTGGTATATTTCAGTGTGGATAAGCTACTATAATGGATCTCTGTTCTTATCCAATTAGCTGGTTTTCAATCTGAACAGCTGCACAGCCCCCAGGCTGGTGGTATAGGATTTCCCACAACTAGATGCAGGGATGCCGGAGACACTGGAGGTGATGTCTGTGAATGGCAAACACCAGTAAGGCAAGATTGTCATAAGAGCAGGATCAGGATGGGGAATGGTGGTGGAGAGCTGGAGTTAGCTGTGAGGCAGAAATGTGTGACACGGAAAGGCACATTATTGCAAAAATCAGCATGCATGGAGCCCTTTGTGGTGGATTAGAGCT